AAATTGATCTCCCCAAAGGACACGGGGCATAATGAAGAGAGAGAGGAAAAGTTGCTCGAGAGGTGTCCTCCTGGCCATGAGGGCACAAAGTTGATCGACATACCCGCAACAATTCTTGATGCATCCAGTGCCATCATCGCATGGTACCTCCTAGACGCCTTGACCGATGCCACCCAGGTGTGTTATATATATTGTGACTGGATGGATATTGAACATCAAATGGTATGTACAGAATGAAATTTGGGCAGCCTCAGATTTGCTAGCTCCCATGCTCGAACAAAGCATAAAGCTCGATGGGATTTGGCGGACTAATCAACAGTGGTTCACACCAAGCTCGGAAAATGATGTCCTAACTCCCGGATGCGTTAATTTATCTCCGGCATGGTTTCACCAGGGGCACGAGGTAGGATCTGATGAGATGGCGATCTCGGTAGTTAAACTCACCAATCCCATAGAATCAGTCCGATCCGGAGGTATCTGCATCATTGAAGGGACCATCCTCCGAGAACATCCTCAAAGCCATTGCAAGGCCAGCAGCCATTGCCACAGCGGCACTCAGGGTGATGCATCCTGAGCAGTACTGGGCAGGGTTGCAAGCCTTTGCGAGCCTCGGAGAAAAGGCATGAAGCAAGGAACTGCTGAAGATGTCAGAGACTCTCCAGTACTGGGCAACGGTGTTTAACAGCCTCACTGTCATATGCAATCGGGAAACCCCGAATCATCGAGACCCCTCATCGATTTCTGAATGCTTCGATATTCTCACTAGTGTGGGGAATTATTCTAATGCTCGGATGAATATGCCAAGCCTGCAGCTGGAGTCAAGGTACGATCCAGGGTGCATGATTGCATTTTCGGGAAGGATTGTCAGACACGCGGTTCATGCAGTGGAAGGGGATCGGATTGCCTGGGCATGGTATATGAGGGATGCTGTTCATGTTTATGCTGGGATTCCGTCGTGTGGATGGGCAAGGTTGGATTGGAAGAAGTAGAAAGGTAGTTACCCGTGTTAGTACCCACCTTCAAATACATGATACTAGATGTCAGGCACTCCATACTCAACATTCGGGTTTCGGGTCTTGATAGTCGGGACTCGATATTCGAGTATATTCCATAGTGATGTTGTACACATTTCACTGACTACCGAGTACCGGGTTTTGGGTTTCGGTACACGGTACCTGGTACTTGATAGTCGGGACTCGATATTCGATTTCACTGACTACCGAGTACCGGGTTTCGGTACACGGTACCCGGTACTCGGTGATTCAAGAAAACAACTCCCAAAATTGATGAGTGTCATGTTTTGAGTTTTGTTTTGATTTGTTTTGAGTGTCGAATCTCGGGCTTCGGGCTTCGGGTTTCGGGTCTCGATAATAGGGACTCGATACTCGATGGTCGGCACTCACATCTCGGGCTTCGGGAGTCGATTGTCGGGACTCGATAGTGTGGATTCGGGTTTCAAGACTTGGTACCCGGTACTCGGGTTTCGGTACTCGGTGATTCAAGAAAGTGTCGTGTTGTTTTGAGTTTTGATTTGTTTCGTGTCGAATCTCGGGCTTCAGGCTTCTTGGGTTTTGGGTTTTGGGTTTTGGGTCTCGATATTGGGGACTTGATACTCGATGGTCGGCACTCAAATCTCGGGCTTCGGGAGTTGATTGTCAGGACTCGGGTTTCAAGACTCGGTAGTTGGGACTCGATAGTGCGGATGTGGGTTTCAAGACTCGATTGTCGGGACTCGATGGTTGGGACTCAATGGTTGGGACTCGATAGTCGGGCTGTGGGACTCGATTGTCAGGACTCGGTGGGGACTCAAAACTCGCAACTCATAGCAATGTTCGAGTTTCAAGTCTCGTCTCAAATCTTGGGCTTCGGGACTGGATATCCGGGACTCTATGTTTGGGACTCAATATTTGGGACTCAAGATATCTGGATCTCGATACTCAAGATTTGGTATGCAGGACTCAGCATATAGCAATAGGTCAGATATTCGAAAGTCAGTATGTAATTTTCAGTACTTATTTCATCATGTACAGAATTTAGACTTCAACATTCTGAACTGAAGGACTAGAACTACTCTGGTCCCCCTGGGTTCAATTTGGTTAGGACGGTGGTGTACATCTGAATCTCTGCCATCTTTTCACGGATGCCAGCTTGTTGATCCTCAATCACTGTCAGGAGGTGTTCCCTCATCCACCTCAGTGCCTTCAGTGTTGCAACCGAGCTTTCATCCACCTGCTCGGGAACAACAAGACATTCGTCCTCAACGCCAGACTAGAAAGGATTAGTCATCACTCAAGGAAATTCTGTAAAAGTCTTACTAGCCAATGCTAGTAGTGACAGACCCAATTAGCGAATACCTGATCCCATGGCCATAATTCGTTCGGGATGGCAGTTGATCTGGTCCACCATTGAGTACCATAGGTGGATACAATGCGGGAGGGATCCCCCAGATCTGCAACGTCTTGAAACTGGCATAGGTGGGATGAAAAGATGTGGTCTGGAACCATGTTCCAGGTGAGCTCGGGAATCAACTGAAGAATATGAGCAACCGGGCTCGGAACAACCAAAATGATGTTCCTTGCAGCTGAGTACTGCAGGATGGGAGTCACAAAAGTCTGTTGGAAATGTCAGCATTGACCACCACAGTCATCAGCCTCTTACAGCTATCTCCCATTGCAGCCCGGCTTTAAAGTGCGTGATCCGAGTAGCAGAAGGCTCCTGGGTGTGGGCAGCCTCCATCTGATATTGAGAGATGGACGCTTGGATGCGAGATGCAGCCATTGACATTGTAGCTGCAATATCTGCCTGAGTGAGTGTGAGGGGTCGGAACCCATTGCCGGAAGTCTGAGAATTAGAAGGGGATGTTGGGGGAGTATGCAATACAGACATGGTTAATGCAGGATTATGAAGCTGGAAATGACAATGACAATGGCAGTTGGTTTGGAGGTCAAGATATGAGCCACTGGTTGATTGATAAAAATTTTCAAACTCCGACATGGGTCGACCCGGCCAATTCCTGGGACTAAAATGTTTGGGTCAAAGTAGCTGTTTCATATCATTGGCAAAAAAAATTCATTCATCTCGAGTGTCATATCCCGTATTCTGGACCTACGTCCGATGATGTTCCCACGCCTTCCGGATGCACATCCGGACCTCCATACCCTTATCCATGACTCCATACCCTTATCCATGCCTGCAGTCCTCCAGTCCACTATCGGTTTGGATCCGTACACCTTCATACATCCATATATCCATACCTTCGGACCTCCGCAGCTAAGCCTGCTTCATCCACCCTTGATCCCATCGGATCCGAGCTCATCCTACCTGAGACTTTACCTTCCCTAGACTACCAGATGATATCCATGATATATATCCTAGTCTCGTCTTCACCTAGATCTCCGGATCCGCTCATCCGATATCCAGACGCCTCATCCGATATCTCTAGACCTCCGGATCCGACCTATACTCATATCCGAAGCTCAAACCTTAAATCAGCGTCTATCTCCTTATGGTAATCCTCTTGACTCCGGACTTCGGTTATCTGTGTTTCCGTCTTGCTTATTGATCCTTGTACTTTGTTCATCTCCGAGTTCATTTGTTTATGTTCCGTTCATACTTACCAATATGTTTCCACATGCTCGTACATAGCATTTGTCTTCAGCTTACTGATCCTCTCGGATCCCGTCCAGTATATAAACCTCTGTACAACTCCTGTAAAGTTTCCTCAGTTTGAATATCATCTTAGATTCTGCTCAACATAGACTTGCTCTCTCACATCCTAGACTTCACTCATTCTGATCTCGGACTTCGGTCCATCTTAGTATTGCCTTTCCTTAGGCCTAGGGAAGGATTCCCTAGGCCAACCTTCCGGTCCTCCGGATTTATCCTTCCGTCTATATCCATGCTTAGGGATTGACTCCCTAAGCCGAAGCTTTGCCTTTCCGGCACTTCCTGTCTTTCCGAGACTTCTGTCTAAACCCCGTCTATCCAACTCTACCATAGTGTAGTCTACCTCCGTCTGTTTCTACTCCGGACCTTGTCTGTTGTAGCCCTTGTTCTCTTGTCCTAGAATCCTGTCCGCTCCTCCGGTCCTCCGGACTTCGTAACCTTCGGACTTCGTAACCTTCGGACTTCGTAACCTTCGGACGTCGTAACCTTCGGACGTCGTAACCTTCGGACGTCGTAACCTTCGGACATCGTAACCTTCGGACGTTGTAACCTTCGGACGTCGCAACCTTCGGACGACGCAACCTTCAGACGTCTTAACCTTCGGACCTCCGGACGTCCTGTCCTTCGGACCACTCCTCCTACCCTATCCTGCTTTGGACTCTGTCCCTTGCAGCCTATCTTCTATGTGTTTCCATCTAGGGAGCTTACCTTCGGATCTAATGCAGCGGGTGAAACTCTTGCAGAGTTTCCTATACTCATCCGAAAGTTTCCCGTGCTCATCCCGAAGTCTCCAGCACTCAACCAGAGTAGCCAGCCTCCGGAAGTTCCTTCGGACTTCGTCAGATTCCCATCTGGACTTCATTCTGAAATTAGGGCATGTACTTGGGTAAGGGCACAGCGCACGAGCTGAGGCCAAGCCCTTCGATCCGTCTACCCTTGAGCTACACTAACATCGACACTTAAACCGTCTCAGTGAAATGCTTGTTAGATGATACATTTGGGATGCTTCCGGTAGCATCCCCGAAGTGTTTCCCAATGATTCCGCATCCGTCACACATTGGTTGCTATCACAGAAAAGTTCATGTCCCTCTCCATTGAACATCTTCCTCCATCGATCCCGTAGTGCCTTTTGCCCGGAACCAATGACTCGAAAATTCGGAGACTCTGTCAGCTGAGCGCGGGACACATCAAGCATGCCCGAACTCACATTCCTCATTCCACGAGTGATCGGGACCCCCAAGGTCGACTTCGACTGACCAGAACCAAGCGAGGGACTCGTTTCGCTGACCTCGGGCATTTGGATCGCCGACGGCAGTGCTGATTTTGAGTTGCTCTCAAAGCAGGGGTTTGTATTTCTGAACCTGGTCTTGCCCTGGCTCCAGTTGCATCATTTGCTTCCTCGTCTTCGTATATATACTGGCATGGAGGGACACCGCCTGCTGCACCGACGTCACCTGGGACCAAGCTTGAGTTTTCAGGGCCTGGGATTTGGCTTGCCTAACTGTTGTTCGAAACAGAACCACCTTGTTGCACAAGTGAATTCGGAGGTTGTGAAGGGAGTCATTGGCCTGCCCTTCACGAAGAGACTTCTCCAGCGGAATGAGATCGTCTGCCATACAGCGTCTGCATCGATCTACCCTGAGGTTTGATGGCAATGGGATTACAGTGAGCTCAGGGGAGTTTGCCCATGTGTCAGATGTCTTGGTGAAGTCTGCCAAGTCATCATCGAGATCATCAAGAATGTCCAAGTACAAGTCTTCAGGATCTTCATCTGCATCAAATCCCTCTCCGAGATGCGTAATAGCAGACCGAGTGAATCCATCTATCTGGCCTTGGAGACGATCGCGTTGCCGGGCGATGTCTAACTTCTGTGTCTCGGTAGTTCTTCTACCAATTCTTCAGACCTCGATGAGCAATGCGATTTGAGCCTCTTCAATCGCCAACCCCATTGATATCCATGTCGCCACAGACCTGCGAGCAGGTGCTGCATTTCGGGCATTACCCTCCTCTAGTAGCCTAAGCTTGATCTCCTTTTTGCTTGGTGCTGAATGCAAAATTAATTCAGACTTTGATGGAGACAAAGTCAACTAACCCTTCTTGATATTAATCTCATATACATCCATAGCCGCAGGATTATTTATTCTGCTGGACTGAGCGATCCTCTCGCTGGCTAGCCACTCTGTCTTTGAATCGCCGGGTGCTGCTTCATTGAGTATGTCGAAAACCTTTTCACTTTCGGCAATGCCATTCTTCGCCTGCTTGTATTTTCGGCAAAGGGTCCTTTTCATGCGGATTATCTTGCAGAAATTGGAATCATTCATCTGATAATCGAGACATTCTTTTCGATGTGGGGATGACATTCCCCGAGCAGCAGGGGAAATCAGGTTGAGACATGACCATAGGGTCTCCATAATCTCTCCGTCAATCCGACCGATGCCTTCGATAAAATTCGACGCATATCGGACATAGCAGCTGCCCTGATGTCCGTGGATGTGCCACAACCCGATTCCGGGAATGATGGTCAATTCCGGAACCATTTCGAGAAATCGGCTTCGATCCACCCGAACCCGAAAGTGCTTGTTGTATTGACAGTTGATATCATAGAAGGTGACCACCCTGGTGATGCCTTCCATGTTGTGCCGGGCAGCCTCACAAAGGGCATAGTCCATGTTCATTTGTCTGCGAATGATGCATGGTTAACTCGTGAATATCGAATGGCTGGGTCGGCTTGCCTTTCGCCTTTCTGAAAATCTACCATCGAGTGAGGAACAAAGCAACCGTGTCTCGCACAGGCTACTCCCCCAATGCCCATGGATTCCAGCTTGTGCCAAGCTGCATTTGCTTGATTTACTGCCCGGTGATTGTTGCAGCTTGATTTTTCTAAAGTGTCGGCAGCCTCTGCAAGATGCGTTTTATACCTGTCCTTTCCCACCATGAATCCCAACCCATCTGACAGCCAAACTTCATCAAATGGCTTCATGGGATGCAGGTGTTCAGCTTTGAAATTTCCGTCCATAACAAATGACCGGGTGTATTTCCACCTTGGAGTTGTTATTATCGCTGAGGTGACTTCGGTATCGAGGAAGACTCACTCATCAAGTGATTCATCCCCTGAGAAGGACACATTAATCCCAGGCTGAGGACATGCCGGGCAAAATAATGCGAGATCTCCTGCATTTGGGCTGTCGGAGCAATGGCCGAAGCCATGCCATTTCATCGTCTTCAATTGCCTCCACTGTCGGGCGACTCTCATGAGCTCTCGGTATCGGTCCTTGCCCCATGCATTGTCAATATAATGTCCTTTAGATGAGAGAGATATGGCATTACCGGTACAAGGTGTGGAAACATCCTCGAGGTCATTCGCCAGAGCTTGCTGTAATAGTTCATCGCCGAGGTCCCACATTCAAGGTTGTCCAATAGAAAATCATCAAGAACCCTGAAGGTGAACAAAGTCTTCGGCTTGTTAAATGAAGCGGGGAAAAATCCATGTCGAAACATTTGAAGGTCTGGACTCATGGCATTTGGACAATCGCAGCATCGAACCCAGAGGCGATGAACTCTGGACTTGTCAATGATGATGGTGTTTTCCTTTGGCTGGAACTCGGGTCCTGACACAGATGGTAGATCTTCAGGCTCAAGCTGGTCTTCCGGTTCGTCTTCTTCGAACAAGTCCCACCTATCCGTAAGTACCGGACATTGTTTGCCCTCATGACCGAGGTGTATGATGAGTCCGACGTGAGCGAGACAACTTTGCTCAAAGAATTGACCATTCCATTGACTGATCCAATGGAAGGGATTGCAAAGATGTTGACTTCTGCAACAGCCAGTGCAATAGAGTGGCTCCCCAAGACAATCTTGACATTTGTAGACCCCATCCTGGTTGCAGACGACGCATCTCCTATCTTCTGGTGGAGCTTCTCGATCCAGGAGGTGATGCAGATATGATTTCTGCCTTGGCAGCCATTGCCTGAGGTAGTCATTCTGACTCTGGATTTGTTATACTTAGCTATCATTTGAATTGCAATGCAACATTTTACATGAACTTGCCATGGTTTTTGGGAGTTGCAAAGGCTCAAATGAGCCTTGGTCTTGCTCATAAGTATTGTCAGGAATGTCTTCCCAAAGAGGTGGTGCCTCAACAGGCCGAAGTGTTGGTGATTCTGGGGGAGAGCTAGGCATGGACCTGTATGCACGTCTTTTTGTGCTTGCAAGTGGGACCTTGACCCAAATTTTCCTACCTCTGCTTCCCCTTGCTTCTACCCTGTGGGATCTTTGCAGTGGGGTGCATCTACCTATCTTCATATTATTTTCTAAGGCTGCAAGCAAAGCACGAGCTCAGGAATGCGAATAAATTGTTATTGCAATGTGATCTTATGTGGTCTTGATGCGTCATTACAAATTCATTTCCAATAATGGAATTGCGTCCAATATGGGTCAATTAACCAACTGTTAGGCTTTGCTCAAAGTTGAACTTGTCACCGTTATTACTTGCACCTTGCTCATCCTCAGCCCTTTCTGCAATCTCATTCACAATGGCAAGATCAGGTCATTCCACTCAGTTGACTTCCACTTCTGGAAGACATAGGGTGCTGTCAACCACAGACACAGAAGCTCACGGATAACGAAATTTTGGAGTTGAAGCACTACCTTCCTGAGTGGACTTCGGCGAAAAAGGATTGAGAAGAGGGCAGTTTTTACTGCCATAGCTAGGGCTGCCAGGCTATTTGCTCCCAAGGTCGACCAAGCACAATGGAAGAAGAGGAAGCAGGTGATTCATCCTTGCTTCATTCAAAACTAAAATTTTAACATCTTATTCTTCCATGAACTCTCAGATGTACAAGACATGGTTGTTCAACAACCAGAAAAAGAAGGAGAGGAAGGACATGATAAAGTATGGGAGGAAATGGACTCCTAGGCAGGTGATCTACCAGCAGAAACGGGAGGAGGTGCTGAAGAGGATTGAGGATGAGTCTGGGGCAAAGCCAGGAGGTCCCGGTATGTTCAAGCATTATCAGGCGGCTGTAAAAAGAGTCATGGCTGAATTGTCCGATGATGAGTTGGAGAAGGCAAAAGACACGGCCGAAGAATGGTCCAGCAACTTTCCTCCTCCCGAGATACAAGCACAAGGAGCACTTTTCGAAGGAGATGTGGAGGCAATGCGGGATGAGAGTGTTGTGATGTCGGCATGGAAGAATGAACAGGGAGAGGTGCTGTTCGGGATGTAAGTCAATTTTGTCATCGCAGATCATCGCAGATCTTCGATCTCAATACATTTCATGCAGGCACGATGATAACGAGGCATTAGGAGATGGGGAAAGTTTCATGAAGATGAAGGACTGGGAGGACATCGAGCCAGTTTGGCAGGAGTATGCGCAGGAACAATTTGGTGAGTGTTTGATCTCTTGCTACTGGAATGAATTGGTTGATCTTTGTCATGATAGGTGCTGGGGCACGAGATGGTGGGCGACAGGTGAATGGAGGTCGAAAGAGAATCAGGAAGCCTGCTTTTGAACTCGAAATCGATGGGGATGGGATGCCGGTGCTTCCTGACATCACCGAGACAAAACTTGAGGAGAAGAAAGCCATTGTCAGAGCATTTCTCGCATTGCACTATCGTGAGTCCGTCATCGCAACACGCGAACATTTGTTGAATGCATTTATACAGATATCTGTTCTGGGATTGTCAAGGCAGTTGTGCCATGGAGCGCCATCGTACAAAGTCAGGATGACTTTGTGGCAAGAACGTATCTTCCGGCGGATGTGGACTTGAAGGAGCCTTCGAAGTTGCAACATTGGGACACGACCACCTTACTGAATTTCTGGTATGCTCGGCAGGAGACAGGCGAAGGTCCAACATTCCTGTTCAAAGCATGGAGGAACAGAGATGGGGACATGGTAGCCTCGGTTGTATCCGGAAATTCACCTTCTCATCAGACTCATAATGCCAGACGAGTTATGATCCGAAGGCCTCGGAATTCAGCAACCGAAACTGACAGTGATCCCAAGGCCAATCACGAGAGTGATCCAGAGAGCAATCCCAAGGGACAACATTCATCACATGGAGGATGATGCTGATGATGACACAGAGGAACGGTAGATCCCCGCAAAAGAGACCCAGAACAGAGCCTGGTCCTTCGAACAGCACATGAAGGGACAGCGGTCCCACATGCAATTCCAAAGCCTCGCCCGGTCAATGCAGGGAAGACTGGTGCACTGCTGACATCGCGAATGGGCGACCTCCTGACTGGGCTGACTGCAAGAGTCACTCGCAATGTTCAGGAGGATGGTGCAACCGAACGAGTCAATAGGTTGCTGGCGCCGAAGAACATGCGGGGAAAGAAAGCGGTGATTGAGCCATCGGCGAGGACAACCCGGAGTAAGTCAACACAGCAGCCATTGGACACAAGCACTCGAGTGACGAGAGCAAGGGGAAAGAAGTAATGGGCTAATACTACACTACCTGCCATTACCTGCTTGTATTTACATGTCAATGTGTAACTTTCATATATCTGACCTAATATGATATGCAGAGTCCCCACTAGTGAATATTGATTATTGAGTCCCGACTATTGAGTCACAAACATTGAATCCCGACTATCGAACCTCGAGTCCCGAACCCCGAGATTCGTCAAACAGCGAGTCCCGACTATTGAGCGTCGAGTCCCGAGCATCGAACATTGAGTCCCGAATATTGAGTGCCGAGTGTTGAGTCCCGATTATTGACTCCCGAATATCAAACATCGAGTCCCGAGTATCGACCATCGAGTCCCAATCATCAAGTCCCGACTATTGAGTCCCAAGTGTTGAGTCCCAATTATCGAATCCCGACCATCGTGTATCGAGTCCCATTCGACACCCGGGGACATGTATTGAAAAATTTGGTAGTGTACATGATGTGGGGATGTCAATGAAAATTCACAGGTTGCAATGTAGTAATTTACATGGTCAGTTGTTCTTCAAAGTGTTCAATCATGGAATCTACTACCTTGAGCATTTCAATGCTCATCTGTTCAACTCTTTGCAACCTCTGCAGGTCTGCATCAGCTTTTTTCAGTTTGTCGGATGTTTCTGCCCAAGCAGTTCGGAATGGACACTCGGCCTCAATTAGTTGTTGGATGGAAGGGTCAGGAAGACCTCCAGTACGGTGTTTGTAATCATGGAGTCGATCTTGGACGGATTGGTCTTCCAGAAAGATTAGCTCAAAGATAAATGCTCTGCTTTCAGATACTCACATTCTGGGTGTTGGTATTTTCCGAAAGGATGGAGCTCCCGGACCATCAACCGTACATCCTCAATATTGAGCTCCGGCTGGTCTCCAGGGAGTTCGGTAGATGATTTGTTCGGCTTGGGAGATAAGATCAGTCTCCATAATGGTCTAGACTGAATGGACCCACATGAAATAGACACCTCTGAGGTAGCTGGAGCAAAAGTGGGAGGATCAGCAGAGTCCAGCAACTCATCAACATCAATGACATCATCCTCAGGCCCGAGGTACAAGTCTGGATCAATGAGACAGCTGGCATCATCAGCTTGACCCGGATGTGATTGATCTTCAAGGGTGAAGTTAGCATGCATGGTGATCCCAGGTCATCAGTAATGTATAGTCATACCGGGTATTGCAGCCGACGCATCCAGGGGGTCCGGATGACATAGAATCATATTCTATGTCATCATCTGGCCCGAGGTATAAGTCATCTATGTCATCTAAGGGATACCCGGTGAATAGATAAGGCATGATAAGAATACAACATACCTAGTGATGCCTGGCCCATAGATGAGTCATCCACATCCATAGAATTATAGTCAGTCACCGGTGGGTCATTAAATCTAACGGCTGGATGGGAACTCATGTGTGGAGAATTGGTGGACTGATTGACTGATGATCTAAAAAACTTCGAAGTTCGACACAAAGCCGGCAATTGCCGAAAGTTGAACAACGACCAAACAAACACAAACAATAAACGATTTTGTGGATCGCCCATCAAATGTCTTGTTTGTTTGAAACTTCATCTTTCTGATAACTGATTTCAATCTGATTTCAAGATCTTTAAATCTCTCAACCCACTCATCATGTCCACTCCAGTTGACAACTCTTTGACCCATCTCAAGGCATCCACTGCCCAGATCATGGCCATCATCAGTGCTGCCCGGCAGATTCCCCCGTGTCCCAGCCACTCGGCTTTGGGAAAACAGGTTGCTACACTTGTGGTATGTATTTTGTTTGGGTGCTTTTTCTTCTCTAACATCTTGGTAGTCTGATGTAGCCAAGGAGTATAGGTCCGGGGATGGTCCTATTCCCGGCCTCATCATTTCATGCTCCAAAGAGCTCCAGCGCATTCGGAACATGGTTCCCAAGGTCTGGCCAGACTGGCACTCCATCAGGTATGACGATCCTCGCATTCTTAGGCACACCTGGTACCCCAAGGTCCTCGCCTGGAACGCCTTAGGCGACCAGACCTTCGATCTCCCAACTGCTGCCCCCCCATCCACAGGTCCGATTCCTGTCAATCTTCTCTCCCCAGCCATCCCTGCCGGCAATGTCACCAGCCCTTCCACCAACCCCACCACCGAGTCCCGGGACAAGGGGAAAGGTAAGGCCGTCTTCGCTGACCCAGACCCCGAGGCAGAAGGGTGTAAGAAGAGGAAGTCCCCCTTGATTTCTGGACTCTCCTCCCAACCCCCAAAATCCACGATGAAGAGTCACAAGCGTCAGAGGTCTGCTCGCGTTGTGAAGTCCAAGGCCATCGTGGAGTCGGAAGATGATGAAGACTCGGTTATGCAGGTATGTCGTCTTGTTCATTTTTTCATTGTCTCTCATTTTCGTGTAGCTACTTTTGGGTGGAGTGCCGGAGGTCGTCCTTCCCCGGCTCTCCACAATTGTCGCAAGGACGCCTGATTCACCTCACTCGCCCTGGGTACCCAAGAAGAAGCCCTTTGGCCCTGCCACAGTAAGTGTCATTTATGCGTCCGGGACTCAGGTGTGTGCTTACATTATACCAGGTGATTGCCGGCAGTCACACAGCAGTTGGGGAGCCCTCCCAGCCCACTCCCGAACCGGACCGGTGAGTACTTTGAAATATCTCAAGTGTCCATACACTAATACAACCAACAGAACAACCCATGCTATGCTTGCCACAAGCACAACTGGCCTTGCGCAACTCGGCCGGACAAGAGGACCGGGGCTCCATGTATGTCGTGCGTCTACTGCACAACAAAGAAGATCAAGTGCACCCCCGCGACTATGGGATCCCCGCCTCCTCGCGATCGTTCTTCCTCTACTACCTGGAAGACGAGGTCCAGAACACCATCCAGGGCTTCCTCCAAGACTCCCTCCAAGGCTCCCCCCGCATCCCAAACCCCCGCCCCCTCCAAAGCTTCCCCTGCCTCCCAGTCCAGGGCCCGAACTCGCAGTCAGTCTCGTGGCTGGGCCGGAACTTCTGGTGTCACTGCTGTGACCACTCCCAAGACCCAGACGCGTGGTCGCAGCAAGACTATCACTGCCGTCAAGGCACCTGCACCTGCACCTGCACCTGCACCAGCTCGTAAGTCACCCGAGTTTTTCATCACCGTCTGACCTTCATTTTCCCTTGTAGCCCTTCCGTCTTCCAGGTCGGCAGTCCCTGCTGCAGCACTTGGGGTGCCCATGCCAGATCTCCATGCCATGTCCATTGCGATTTGAGATGGCGCAGCTCGAATCGCTCTTCTCGAGGCTCATGTGGCAGAGCAGGATGGTAAGATTGACACCCTGCAACGCCTTCATGAAGGCCTTAGGCGCGAAATCATCGACTGGCACCCCTCATTCCCACTTCCTGACACTCCTGCCCCTGCAACATCCATGTTGCTTGATCAATCCGGCCCCCGCACCATGTCACCCCCAGAATCTGCACTCCCTCCTCTGATTGATCTCAGTATGGAAACAATGGCTCCCACACCTGCAGCCCCGACATTCCCGGATGCCTCTGCCATTGAGGGTCTCCTGTTCGACTACAACCAAGTTGTTCATCCAGAGGATCCAGATGCATCCGGCGAAATTGTGGACCCAGGTGATCCAAGCAACCTTGTCCCAGAATATGACTCTTCCAGCAACATGGATGTTGAGGTGGAGGTGAAGGTTGAAGAGTCTTCTGTGGAGGTTGACATGGCTACATAATTGCATAGTGATAGATGTATATACAAGTTTTCAATGAATGTAACCTCTGCCAGTCCATTGATTGAGTCACTGAGTTCCAAGTCCCGAGACCCGAGCCCCGGAATTCGGCACTCGGGACTTGAGACAACAGATTTGAAACTTGAAACTTGAAACTCGAAAGCACTCGAATCTCAGGTCTCGGTACTTGGTACTTGGTATTCGGTAGTCAGTACTTTCGAGTTTCGAATTTTGAGTTTTGTTTCCAATCTTTTGTCTCGCGTGCTGAGTGCCGAATTCTGGGTGTCAGGTGTTGGTACTCGGTTCTCAGTACTCGGTACTTGGTGATTCGAGTCTCGAGACTTGTGACTCGTGATTTACAAATCGACATTTGAAACTTGTGATTTCTGAGAACAATGTGTATTATCTTATGTATTTCTGTACTCATTTCACCGACTACCGAGTGCCGAATCTCGGGTCTCAGGTCTTGGGTCTCGGTATTTCAAAACGACAAAAATGGGTGGCAGCAGAAGTGAAAATTGATTGTGCATTATTAGCTGGATAGTGTTGTGGTAACTTGGTCCCTGTTGCGATGCTGTGCAGGATTCAGCCAGGAAGCTGCTCTGCCATTCAACTCCCCTCATTGCCACAATCAATTATAATCATCATGTTCATTCACTTCAGATGTTATTCTTGTCACTTATTGCTTATTTTATTTTTATGAGTGCTTTTATGTTTTGAAACAAAATCTTAGCTCATGTCAAACTCAACTCTCTTACATGCCGAGTGCCGAATTCCAGGTGTCGGGTGTCGGGTGTCGGGTGTCAGGTGTCGGGTGTCGGGTGTCGGGTGTCGGGTGTCGGTACTCGGTACTCGGTACTCGGTGATTCGAGTCTCGAGACTTGAGACTCAATTCACAAATCGAAATTTGAAACTTGTGATTTCTGAGAACAATGTGTATTATCTTAAGTATTTCTGTACTCATTTCACCGACTACCGAGTGCCGAATCTCGGGTCTCGGGTCTCGGTATTTCAAGACAACAAAAATGTATATCATCTTAAATTTGAATTTTCTTAACTCGAGACTTGAAACTCATAAAAATGTACAATACCTAGGCCTATCTGTCTATATGATACGTATCTGGGCCCACCCGTCTATCTAATAAATAATTCACCTCACCCTTGGCCCACCCGTCTATCTAATATTACCCGACGTCAGCCCACCCATCTATGTAGAATTCCCCACGTCGGCCCACCCGTTTATCTAATATGACCCCACATCGGCCCACCCGTCTATCTAATAAATAACTCACCTCACCCTCAGCCCACCCATCTATCTAATATTACCCCACGTCGGCCAACCCGTCTATGTAATAAATAATTCCCCTCACCCTCAGCCCACCCGTCTATCTATTATTACCCCACGTCGGCCCACCCGTCTATCTAATAAATAACTCACCTCACCCTCAGCCCACCCGTCTATCTAATATCACCCCACATCAGCCAACCTGTCTATGTAATAAATAATTCCCCTCACCCTCGGCCTACCCGTCTATCTGATATTACCCCACGTCGGCCCACCCGTCTATCTAATAAATATTTCACCACTCCCTCGGCCCATCCGTCTACAAAATAATACTAATATGTCGGCCCACACGTCTATATAATACTATTTGCTATACATCTCTCCTCAGGTCTATAATATATGTCATTCCTACTCTACATATTACCCACATGGGCCCACCCATCTCCATAATAATATTTCTCCCGGCCCATCCGCTATCGTCGATGATATATATAACATCAGCATAGATGGGCCCACCCGTCTCCATCGGAAATAATATGCCTCCCGGCCCACCCGTCAACATCGGGAATATACATAACATCGGCCCATAATCCGCTGGCCCGTATTACACGGGATATTATGTAGGTCGGGTGACCCGTATAATACGGGATTTGTCACTGAAGGGGCTCACAAGCAGCCGGCTATAAGGAGCGCAGGGAAACTCGTCTTCAAGGCAAGTCTTTATATTTAAAGTGGCTAGAGATGATTGAAACCAAAATACATACCTTCTGTAAAGCAATGACTGTTGACGAGCGTCGAACTCTTGAAGCGCTCAGAGATGACCCCGCTCTCCTTCCTAACTTCAAGGAGGACACAGAGGACTTCAATTTTGGCGACGTTTGCAATGGCACTGAATCACTTCCCATTAGTCACGCTGGCAGTGAGTTCAGTGACCTTGCAAGAGATGTTCTGGGAGATGTCTGGAGAATGTGAGTGTTTGTCTACTTGTACTGAGCAGCTACTTACAAATACCTTTATAAATGGACAGAATGGTACTCAAGGAATGCGTGTTGACAATCGCACTCATCAGGATCGTGTTCTGCGCAGGAACGAAGCTTTTAGCAAACAGATCCCTGCAATGACTGACGCGTACCTCGTCTGGAGTTTAGAAAAATCTAAGATGGGGCACCAGAGTTTTTTGATCAATTTCGCAATAAAGAGCTTGATGAGGGTAGCAAGTGGGTAATGACTGTCGTAGATGCTTTTTATAAGTGACACTGACTGCCTCGATGATCACATTATCTAATACGCATGTGCAGTTGCTGAGAAAGTGATACTTAAAATATCTTCTACAGATCATACCGTCGCCTCCGCACTTGTCCGTCAAGGTGTTCTACCTTGTTCTCCAATATCACCGGTGGTGGGTATAACTACCGAAGCCCTTGAACTGTATCGTGTGGCACATCTTAGGAGCCTGCATCTTTTGGTTCAAGCATTTGTGAAAACTATGTGTGATCTACATGGGGTACATTTTCTCACTTTTCAGCCTTTGTACTCACTAAACATAAGCAGGTTGAATTTCAGCACCATTTATTACAACAATTTTCTATCGTGTTCGACTTATACCTCCAAATCAAACAATGTGTAGCCACCATGGTAGCAAAAGCACTCCAACGGGACTCACCTGACTGGCGTCTCAAGCACACATGTCCGGCATGTTCATACAAGCTAGCTAATGAGGAGCAGTTAACCTTCAAGATGTTATACGCTATGGACGGAAACGATTCGTTGAAATGAGTACTCCATCGATCTCTGGACGATGACGACAGTCTCAGCATATCGTCCAAACTCCCTACCGGTCAGGTACTCACCAGCGACCGCTACCTCTCTTGTACTTTCATAGATCAGTTTAAACAGGACTTGCTGCCTGAAACAGGCAACGAGGTGAGTCGTTGATATACCTTAGTTAGCCGTTATTAACCGTTTGTCAGAGCACATCAGCAGATAACCTGTGTGAAGGCCGTTGGAAGAATATGGACGATATGAAGACAAAGAAAGCCTGGGGTATATACGATGAAACGGGTGTCTTCATGGCTGTCTGCCATCATGGGTTTTGTCTCCTCATTGTGGACATGGTGCAGAGCGGAGAACTGTAAGTAATGTACTTTTTTCTTCTTCTATTTTTGACAGATATCCTCACAGTGCAAAGTACCCATTGGCCGTTGTTGCCAGGCTATTGGATGTATTTGGTGACAGCTTAGGTGGTGGGTATGATATCGGGTGTCAATTCAAGGTTACCCTCAATAATAGTTCTCTTGGTCTGCTCGTACATTCACTGAATCATACCTGCCTGGTTGGCACATTCCACGGACATGCGCACAGACATTTATGTCAGCTTTTTTTGCTCACAACTTACATTAAAGGCCTGGGACTTGAGGACCTCGAAACGTGCGAATGCACATTTTCTAAATCAAACTCCCTTGCATCATCCCTACACTATGCCAGTGTATTCCACCGCCAACAAGCCATTGACTCGTATTTTGAGCACAATGATGATTTTGAGCTATACGCAAATCTTTGTAAGTACTTAATTAATCTATCATACATATGCGAGCACTGACAATCCCCACTCCTCGGTCCTGACACTAGCTAATTTTTTACACAACAACTATAAACAAGCCCTCGACATATTAGCAAATGGCAATGCTATGCTACCGAACATGATGCGAGATCTTGGAGTCGCAGATGACAGCGTGTTTGAACGTTGGCTGGAGGAGGAAAAAGTCTATTTGAAAGGTTTAATGCAGGAGCCCGAAGAAGAAACATTGCAAATGGAATATTGGCAAAGGTTAGTCAATCTGAAGGCGAGCAGGTGAGTTTTTTTTTCATATGTATCTTGTGCTACTAAAGTCTCCTTCATGCAGCGTTGCTCTCGATGCTGCAATGGCTATGTTTTCACTGGATTCCCAAAACGACATCGCATCTTATGATACCCAGGTTCGAACCACACACAAGGCCGAAAGTACACGATGTCATGTTGTGGAGGACTACAAGAGGAACTTGAAGCTCGTACAAGTACTAGAATGCAAACTGGAGGTCATCATGCGCTGGGTTCCAGAAGATGCTGAGTGGCAGAAAGCGGGGAGACTTGTTGCTAACAGGAGGTACCAACGGGCACTGGACCGTCTGGAGGGTCTGGTCGTGGCACATATTTTTGAGCTTACAAAAATGAACAGAGCAGGGACAGGTAAGGTTCAGTAAAGTGTCACTTGCCTGCATTGATCATATTGTTCAAGGCTATAGACTACGCAAGCACATCGTGAAAGTGTTACAGATGCATTCAGTGGCCATCAGATCCACTCTCAATACTTACAACACCATTGCCACTGCGATGTCCCCTCCCCAGCAAACACTCAAGTGGGAGGAGGTCGTCGACTACGCATTCCTAGCTGACTTTGACCTGCTATGCAACACACGTGCAGATGTTTCGCAAGTCCCTTGGTCTACACCTGGAGCTCGCAGTGCAATGGACCTCTATTTTAAGATGTGCCAGGTGCGGGAGGAGATTTCTCGTCTCAATGTTGAGATACGCCGTCTGGTCACATGTATATGAGACGGGGACAGCTATTTGCGAACGTGTGAGGATCAGCTCAAGTTCCTCAGCCCAGCTCTTGCGCATCAACTTGCCATTCATTGCAACACTCAAGGCCGGTTCAACACACACCATTTGAAGAGGCTTCACAACATATCCACACTCCCAGGTTTCAGTGGGACATTGGTTCCTGGTCTCAGTGCACGCATGGGTTTGGGAGAGAGTGCCAGCATGCCAGATGTGATCCCTGTATATGTGCTTACCGACAACATGCCCATGAATAGCTCATCATCGCCTGTACTATGTGCAGATACGCATGAGGATCTATATGAGGAGGAGCAAGAGGAAGAGATAGCAGAGGAAGCGTCCAGGAACTTGCAGGACATCCTCCTCATCACTGATGATTTTGCACGGCTCAAGCTTAATGATAGCTTAGTTGACTCATCTTAATGTAGCAATTGACTGTATACCTTCAATAATGATTACTACGAGAACGCACCTTCGAGACGACCATGTTAACATGAGCTATGCGAGCTCGCTGTGTGAGACAGTGTCCATGAAGGTTTGGGTGGTGGGCGGACTTAGCCAAACATCAGTAATATTAACTACGTCAGCGTTGACGTGTCCACGCTTACTTACCCTACTATGCAACACTCTGGTCATTAAAGGTCAGGCTTTATTGAATAGATATTGAAGGAGGCTTGCGGGTGCTGAATTTGCATCATTTTAGAGGTGCTAACCCTATCTATTAGCACTACTAATTACAGGGATTACGTGGGAGTCACAGGTGATCCAGACATGGCCCACGACCTCAACCAACGCAAACAAACAGCAGCAAACTGACGACGCTTCCAACGCTCTCAACACTACTTTTCATGCCCATTCTCGAAACACTGTGGATAGTAGTTCCAGTGAAATTCATTGGGTGAAATCATATGATAATGGTCTGAAACTCAGAGCATTAGGTACTGAAATCAGAGTGCTGAAATTGCTGCTTTTTACTCTGAAATTTTACTCTGAAAAGACACTCTGAATTTATGTTAGAATGACAAGCAAAATTATTGAACCATGCCCTAGGAACATCAGCTTGACCCAAGTTACCTGTGATAGGTCATAATTTGCAAATCATGGGAATTGAACCAAAGACCTCATGTTTATAGGTAGAGCGATCTAACCACTAAGCCATAAGTCCTGTACAATATATAAATGGTGACACCAATATATACCAAAAGGATGTCATAACAAAAGTGTGAAAATTCTGCTGTGACGGTGCCAGGTCATTCAATTATCGAGCTCCACAGCAGATTGATCTCCTGAGCTAAAATGCTAGTAGGATTGGAGTATGGTGCTGAATTCTGATTCAGTAGATTTTTCACTGAAATTCAAAATCAGCGCTCCAATGAAATTAACTGCATGCAATTTCAGTGGAAGTTACTCTGAAACATTCAGCATCAGTGCATTTTCCAGTGATTTTCATTGGAACTACTATCTACAGTGGAAAGTGGGCTTCACAGACAGAATGTCTTACTACTTCGAGCACTGAGGGATGTACCTCGTACTGGTAAGTCCTCATATTGTTTGTCACTCAGTACTAGAAAAGTTTTGTCAGCACATAGGACGTTCCAAGCGCATACGGGAAGGTGCACATTTACTGTTCTTGGCTTCGAGAGCTCAGCAGATGACACCTGCGCAGCTGTCGTGACATCCTCACAACAAATACTTTCAAACATTGTTGTGAAGCAGCATGATCTGTGAGCCCCTTGTGTGTAGTGTATGTTTGTTTGACCCCAAATCAATCAGCCACGAAGGTTTCGGCAGCATTCATCCGTCTGTAGCTATTGAGGTGCACCAGCGTAACATGGTGAATGTGTTATTTTCTCTCGAATCGTTTGCTTTGACTTAAGTCTTTAGCCGGGTGCTGTCAGAATGGCTCTCGAACAGGCGCATATTAGCATTCACGACGTCAACGGGATTGCATTTACGTGAGGTCCAGGTATCTAGACATTCCCTTTAATCTGCAGCAAACGTTCCTCACCTGTAAGTTGTTTGTAGGAATTGGAGGCTGCCTTAGTGTGGGCTCGAATGCCGCAAAGTCCCTCGTCGCCGCCCTCAGTAAGCCTCTTGTTGGTGTTCACCATATGGTTCATTCGCACATCATCTTTCTTTTTGGCACTACACTTATTCAGTTGACTTCAGCAAGCACACGCCTTGACTCCCCTGCTCACGACTCCAACCAAGGATCTCCTGCAGTTTCCTTTCTTGACACTGCTCATTTCTGGAGGCCATACACTTCTACTTTTGGCTTCATCCCTTACCTCATTCCAGATCCTTGCAATGACAGCAGACGTGAGTATTGGACGTGCATTTGACAAGGTAGCCTGAGCACTTGGCCTGTCCTGGGGAACCAGAGGCCCTGGCGCAGCACTTGAGGAGCTCTGCCGTATGCCCAACGATGAACTGGAATCCCTACCTGACATTCATCCGTTCACTGTGCCGATGCCGGGAAAACTTGCCTTTTCCTTTGCATCCCTGCAATCTTCAGTAGACCGCCACATTTCTCTCATGGACGAATCTCTGTCTAGTTCACATAAAATTGCCCTGGTGTTAAAGGATGAGAGCTAAGATAGCGCGAGCCTCAGTCTATGGCAAAGAGACTAAGATTCCTAATGTACAAACCTAAGATAGCGCGAGCCTATAGGTGTACTAATGAGTATGATATCAATAGGGATAAGGAGAGCGTACACACCTCAGTCTATGGCAAAGAGACTGAGGTGCGACGAGGGCGTCTGCCCGCCTTAAGTAAAGAGAAAGAAAATAAATGTAACTAGGTGAGTGACATGCAATGACAGGGGGAAATTGTACAGTGACAGTCGCGATATTAGAATGACACCGGGTCGGGTTCCTGGGTCGGGTGCTCTGATGGATCACCTCTCAACACTCCCACTCGTCGGAGCATCTGGCATACCTTGGCGCAAGCCCATCCCCTCTCAATGTTGCACTCCTGCAGGACGAGGTAGGGCCTTTGTTAGACTGTCTGCAATCATTTGTGACGTAGACTTGTATTGCAGGTCGATCTTCTTTGAATCTACGAGACTGCGGATGAGATGGTAGTGGACCTGGATGTGTTTCGCTCTTTCATGGAACTTCGGGTTCTTTGAGAGTGCAATACTAGCTTGGTTGTCCCTGTACAACAGCGCAGGGTCATATAGGTCGGGGTCGAGCCAGAAATTGTGCAGTAGTTGGATGAGATACAATGCCTCACGAGAAGCGTTCGATAAACCTATGTATTCCGCTTCTGTGGTCGATGTAGCAACAACAGATTGTTTCTGCGCCTTCCAACTGATGGGTCCGCCGAAGAGTTGGTAGATGTAGGCGCTAGTGGATTTGCTGTCATCTTGATCTGCAGCGTAATCCGAGTCTGAGTGACCGACAAGCCCCTCATTGGACAAGCCAAAGACAAGCATTATGTCCGTCGTTCCGCGAATGTATCAGAGGAGGTGTTTGAGCTGGCGATGATGGTCGATACTCGGATTCTCCATGTAGCGGGAGAGGCAGGAAACTGAGTAGGCAATGTCAGGGCGTGTCGTCCACATGGCATAGTTAAGCTCGCCAATTGTTCGACAATAGGGGATGGATGCTATGGCAGCTACTTCCTCTTCAGTTGGGGCTCGTGTAGCCTTCTGCAGGACAACACCTGGAGTCATAGGTGTGCTCACCGGGTTACACATGGACATCCCAGCGCCGTCAAGGATCTTCTCAAGGTACGCTTTCTGGCTGATGGCGAGAAGTTGTTTCTCTCTGTCGCGTGTGATATGCATGCCGAGGAAGTGTCTGGCTGGGCCAAGATCCGAGAGGTCGAAACGCTGCTTGAGTTGGGCTTTGAACGTGTTGAGGTAGTCGCGAGAGTTGGATGCTGCAAGCATATCGTCAACATATACTACCAGCCATATGACCTTATCTCCCTCATGAAGGACATAGAGACTGTGATCCACTTCGCTCCTCACAAACCTAAAGCCCTCCTTTCGCAAGTACTCATCCAACGTCTGATTCCACTCGTAACCAGCTTGTTTCAGCCCATAGAGGGCCTTCTCAAGCTTCCATACCCAGTCTGGGTGCTCGGGATCCTCGAAGCCGGCAGGTTGTCTGAGGTAGATGTCCTCTTTGAGCTCGGCGTTGAGGAAGGCCGTCCAAATATCCATCTGATCTAGCTCGAGGTCGAATTTTGCTGCAAGGGCAAGGAGGATGCGGACCGTGTCATACTTGGCGACTGCTGCGAACGTCTCCGTACAGTCGATGCCTTCGACCTGTGTATACCCTTGAGCAACGAATCTAGCCTTGTGCCGAGTGATATTCCCTTCTTCGTCAGACTTTACCGTGAACACCCATCTAGATCCAATCGCTTTCGTCCTTGCAGAAGAGGCATGAGTCGGTGGGTTTGGAGGTCTTGCATTGATTGTAGTTCATATTTGCAGGCGTCTGACCATTTCTCCCATTCTGGCAATTTCCGTGCCTCGTTGATGGTGCTAGGTATGGTTAAGCTTGGGCGTTTGGGGGTGTAAGGATATGATATTCTCTACGCCCCGACCAGGACTTCAAAACAAAAATGCTCGAGCCAAGCGCTCGAACCCATCCACGTGACTCACTGATACAGAAGGCGTTACCTTCCGTATCCGAGTCACACAGATACATCCCTTTGTTCCTTACGCTCATTATCTCACTGTCATCGACATCCAGCACGGCCTTAGTCTCATCATTACAACATACCCTTCATTGACAACAACCTTCAACTCTCCTTATCTCGTTATTCTCATTTGTTTTCAATTCACCGTCTCCAAAACTGTCACTACTACACAACTCTCGTCAATTATAACATTCAGACCGCCACTCATTCATAATCTTTTCGTACTCTCCATTCGTGCCTTCTACACTACCCTGCCAGGCTCAGCGCCACTCCCTTCTGCCTCCGTTTTCTCATAATCGTTCGGTCAAGATATACCCGAGGACCCTTGCCATTTCGCACTTATATACAGCTCATGTACACTCATATTTAGCAGCAAATCCTATATTCAGATACCTGCTCAAAGAACGACCGAAGCCCTCTCAGAAAGTCCCCATCTCCCGTCCTAGTCCTATCTATCTTCGTGTTACCTACTAACGCATCTCTCTTCTATCTCGTCTTGTTCGCTTTCCCCTTCAAACTCATAGTCAGCCTTACAGGGGTTTCTGCAGCTGAGTGCATTGCAGTCTCGGCATCAGGGTGTTGATCACCCACACCCGCGTCCGTTTCAGCGTCAGGGTTTACTTCCGGCATGTAGGTCCAGCATTCAGCGACAGGAATCCTCCTTGTTGGTATTGCTGTGGAGGTGGTGTCGGTTGGTGCACGACATGGGCGAGAGCTGCGACGGGGTAGGTCTATTGGAGGAGGAGGAGGTGGTGGTAGTGCCGGTGTG